ATCATCGCTGGAAATAAGCCTAAGCATTATTATTTTCCTTCTTTTTTTTTCCCCTTATATTTATCGTTATTAATTAAAAAATGCAAAAAAAAAAAAAATAGAAAACGAAATTATTTTAAATTATTTGGAAAACGAAAAAATTAAAAAAAAAAATAGAAAACAAAATTATTTTTTGTTTTTTTTTCTTTGGTAATTATCAACCGAAAAAAATAAAAAAAAAAAAAAAACAATATTAAGTATACGAAAATGTTGATAATGATACTATTGATTGAAAATGGTTAATTAATAAATTCATTAATTGAAAAATTTAATAAGCTAGCAAAAAAGGGAAAACAACAAAATTAATAAATTCATTAATTGAAAAATTAAATAGGCTAACAAAAAGGGAAAACAAGAAAGTTAGATTCCATTTATAGAATGAATGTTTTTGAATTGAATTGATGAAATTTTTTGTCATATTGATAGAGTTAATGCAAAAAAGGAAATTAATCAAAAAAAAAAAAAAAAAAAAAACTCAAATAATGATTTTTCCAATGTTTTTGGTGAAAAAAAAAACGAGAAAAAAAAAGGTACCACTGATGATTATATAAAATTAAGCATTTTGATGAGAAAAGCAATTTTTAGTGTTCAAACGAATGTTAGCTTACCATTAAGCATTGAAGTATTATCCTTCTTATAATGCTTTGATATTCTTTTCTTTTCAAAAATCCAAGAATCCTTGCTTTCTACTAACTTCTTAATTATATTAATTAATAGTTTAAATCATTAATTGTTCACAATCATTAATTGTTAATCATTAATCGTTAATTGCACATATTTTTAATAGTAAATTACCATTGTTTGAATTACTAATCTGTTAAATATTGCATGTAAATGTTTAATTTCAATTGTTAGTAAAATAGATTATCGAATTAATATTTTAATTTAAATTCTTAATAAATATGCACATAAGATATTTTGAATGTTAGCTGAATGATTTGTACAATTATAATGATATTGTACGGTAAGTAGCATTTCAATTATTCAAAAAGTTTAATTAATTATTAGGCAAGAAGTAAACAATATAAAATTTCCCACGCTTTCATCAACTTTTTCCACAATATTTTCTACGGCTTAATACCAATGTGCATAACAAATTAACATCTTTTATATTTGGGAAGAAAAGTAAATATTCTTTTCTAGCTAAAGTATAAATAAATTTTGAACAATCTTTTAAAAAAAGAAAAAAAAACCTGATATTTTAATTTCATCCCATATTTATTAACAATTTAAATTGATAATAAATATAAAATAAAACTCTGTTCTAAGTAAAAAAAAAAAGAAAAAATCATAAAGGAAGATTATTATTATTATCATTATTAAAGACATTTATGAATTGTTAATTTAAATTAATATGCTAATTTTGCAAATTGTCTTATTATCAATTAAAATTCGATATTTATGTACAATATTTTACATTCAAAGATGATTGATTCATAAAAAAAAAAAAAAAAAATAATTATTGTTGAAAATATTTATGAAATGAATAATTAATCATTCAAATGTTATTTAAATTACTTAATAATTTAGTGTAATTTCTATCATATGGAGTGAAAAAAAAAGAAAAAAAAGTTTGCATAAATTTTAAAATGAATTTATCATTGATAATGATATCATCCACATTATTTACCCATTAATTTCTATTTAAAAACTAGCAAATAATAAATGAAGAAGTTTTTTTTTTTTTTTTTAATTAAATATTAACTAAAGCTTTAAAAAAAGATAAAGTATGACTTGATTTAAAAGCTTTTTTTTCTTTTTTTTTCCCATTTTTAGAAACTAAAAATATTCATTTTACTGCATTTCTTTTTAAAATTTCTTTAAATATTTAAAAATTTTTTTTTTGAAAATTTTTATTAAACTATAAAAATTGCAATTATTTTTGCAATTTCTTTCATCGAAATAAATGGAATCCCAAAATTTAAACAAATTTTTTCTGTATTGATTTTAAAGAAAAATAGTTAACATATTGTTTGAAAAAAATTATCGTTTCCATTCTTTTTTTTTCTTCCTTTACTGAAATAATATTAGCTATGGAAATAATTTAGCCATTTGAATTATTTCATTCATTCCAATGTCTGCATGCTAAATTATTGACCTCACGTAAATCACGTGAAATTTTCAGTTTGAAACGTAATAAATGATACATACGATACAAATTGCAATGACAATAATGCAAATGTTGCATTTTAAATTGTCAAAATAGCTTAAAAATCCACTTGAATTTTAGCACTGTCTACGATGAGACTTTTAATCCCACTTATGTCACCATCGACTAATAGACTAATCTAGAGATAAATCACTTGATCATTAAGCATCAAGCAGTTTATCTGGATAGCAAACATTTCATTGTCTAATAATTAATTCATTAAAGAAAATTACCCATCGCTATTAATCCTTTTATTTTTTTTTCCTTTCATTTATGACGACATTTGTCACCTTACATTACCATTATTATGTTTCAAATGTCATTCTATCTTACATAAAATTGTTACAAAATGTAACAAATAAGTTATTGAAAATTTTAAATTAATTTTAAATTAAATTCTATGTATATCATTAAAAATCATTTGCTTTTTTCTTTTTCTTCAACGTACGGTGACAATTTCAGGTAATAACATTTTCTGTTGTCAATATTCGTTTAATAAAAAAGTATTAATTTTTATTTCAAGTTTCCTCTTCATATTAACAATAGGAATGAATTAAATACTGATATTAATTGGTGTTTTTTTTTCATTTCATATTATTTACCTGAAATGATATTTCCCGATAATTAAACAATTAAACAATTTAAAAATTTTTATCATTCATTTCTTTTTTATCACATTTACAATTTGGGATAAATTAGCAATTAAATAATTTAAAAATTATTATCATTCATTTTCCGTTTTATCACACTTATCATATATTTTATCAACACATTTGTTCCATTTTAGTCCGATATTCAATTAAGAACATTTAATTTCCAGAAAAAGAATTAAAAGTGAAAAAATTCCGCCTAATATTTTGCTTTTTTATCCGTTCGATTAGCTAACTTTTTGATTGCAAATTAATTCATTTATACTTTATCCTAATTACTCGAACTTTATGCATATTAATTTAATATTTATCGAGGATTTTTTTTTCCTTTTACTCCTCACTTTATAATAATTGTAATTGTTCCAAAATGATAATATCACTCGAACTGATAATACCATTTTAGTTGTTTAATTTCATTATTATTATTTTATTATTTTATTATTATTATTTTGTCGTCTAATTAAATTATTTAGCAAAAGATCGGTTACTAATTCATGAAATAATTGGAAGACATCAAAGTTATACAACTATTAAAAGGGAAATTTGTAGGAAACTCTTCTGGTTAATTGCCTTTAACATCATTTAATGCTTACGAGTAAGCTACGAAAAGTAAATAAATTCAGTTTCTTAATTATGATTAACATTTGATGTATATAATGTTCAAATTGTCACACAAATAGCAACGGTGTCACCGACTATAATGTCATTGATTATATATGGTAATCAATTTTTTCATTCATCCAAAACATCCCAAAGAATCTGAAGTGTATTAATTTTATTTTTGTTAATTAAATATATGCAAGCAAATGGTTACATTTAAAAAAAATATTTTGAAATTTTTTTTTTGTCTTTAAATATTTAAAATCAAATGCTAATGCTTTTTCATTTCCAGCAATTTTACTTTATTGGATAATTTAAAATTTTATTTGGAAGATTTGATAAATTTTCGAAATTACCGCTTTTATCGTTTCCCTTTTTAGGAAAATTTCAAGTTTTGGTTTATTGATTAAGCTTTTTTTCTTTTGTACATTACTCATTCATTTTACTAGTTCATTAAAAACAGAAAATACAACAAATCATTAATTGCTGCAACAATAAGAAAGCTAAAATTTTGGAATGAAAACTTGTTTTACTTTTTTTTCTTTATTATTTGTCATTTTCAACGTTATATTTTCCATTGTAAATAGCAAATTATTGGCATGAATTTTTTTTTTTATCTAACTTATTGATTAAGCATTTTTTTTTTGTTGTTGATTAAGCATTTTTCCTTGTTGATTAAGCATTTTCCCTCGTTGATTAAGCCATTTTCTTTATTGATTAAGCATTTTTCCTTGTTGATTAAGCCATTTTTCTTTATTGATTAAGCATTTTTTTCTTGTTGATTATGCATTTTTCTTTGTTAGTTAAGCATTTTCCCTCGTTGATTAAGCCATTTTTCTTTATTGATTAAGCATTTTTCCTTGTTGATTATGCTGCATTTTTCTTTGTTGGTTAAATATTCATTCATTTTATTGATTTAATAAATGATATTTTCAAGTAGGGAATACAACAAATCATTAATTACTGCAACAATAAGAAAGTTTTCTAAAGTTTTCCATAGAATATTTAATATAAAATAAAAATTTATTTTCGTTTTTTTTCTCTTTCCTTTCTATTATTCATCATTTTCAATGTATTAAATAAAATAAATAACAAATTATTATTAATATGAATATCATTTGTGATGACGTAATCGAAATGTGATCATTACAAGGATGACATGATGACAGTGAAATAAGAAAAATGACGTGAATATAAGTTATAAATTTTAAGTAAAAAGTTACGAAATAAGTAATCTGCTATCTTTGATATTAATTAATGAATGAATTGCATACAATTTGATGTCGTATGTTTTTGAAAATGTGAAATTGACTGAGCTAATTTTAACATTCATTAAAACAATGAATGAATTGTATTTTAATATATTTGACATTGGACATGAAAAAATCTTTCACTGTCATCCATATAATTTACATTCATATAATTTTTAATCACTTAATATCTTTTACTTAATTTTTGCGAAATTTAATTACATTCATATAATTTTTAACACTTAATATCTTTTACTTAATTTTTGTAAAATTTCACAAAAATTATTATAATAATTTTTAATTCTTCAATTTAATTACAAATTATTTCCTTTCTTAAATTTAAATTACAGTATTGTAAATTGATAAGTAAATGTCTCTAAAAATTATTTAAAAAAGAAATTTTTTTGAAAATGGCTGATATTATTGATTCAAATTTTTATTGTTCATTGATTAAAGATTTACTTTTGCGCTTCGCATTTTTGATATTGTTTGAAGTAAAATGAAATGTATAATTGAATTACAGGTGTAAATTACAGGTGTAACAGAAATAAATAATGTTGGCTTGTCAAATGTCATTATTGATTCTTTTATTAATGGTAAATTATTTGTTTTCGTTTTATAGTAGTAAATTATAATAATAGTAAAGTGTAAATTTTATAATAATAATTTTTATGATAATAAATTATAATTATAATAGTAAATTATAATTGTAATAGTAAATTATAATCGAATATACTTTTATTCACTGGTATTTAATTATTTTCTTATTATTAATTACGATAAAACTTGAAAGATTATGGAGTATTTGATTGTAATGATTACAAAATGAAGTTACTCTATAATATTAGATAAAAATGAATAATACTCGAGTAATTGTTAATCAATTGATCGATTGATTGATTGATCGATTGGATGTGTGTGAAAAGATACAATGGAAGAAATAGATTTTTTTTTTTTTTCCAGGCATTGGGTGAACTTAATGATGCAAAATCTGAATTTGATGGAATGAGAAGGATGCATGATTCCATGAAAGGTTCCAGATTCCGAGCGAAACAGAATTCAATGGATGGGAATGAGTTTGGTGGTTTAAAAGGCATTGGATTTAGGATAAGAAAGAAAGCTCTTGATGCATTAGAGGGTGCGGGATTTGGGATAGAAAAGCGAGCTCTTGATGCATTAGAGGGTGCAGGATTCGGAATGAAGAAACGAGCACATGATGGAATAGAAGGTGAGGGATTTGGTTTGAAG